CATAGGAATAGATGATAGGGTCGATTCATGTGCAAGCATCTATGTCAATAAAATATAACATGATGCAGCTTTGGAGTTGACATGGTGTATGAGTGCACCACATCAGTTCCATGAATGCCACCTGTGCACCATGTCAACATGTCATCAAGATGTTAGCACAGTATAATCACGTTTTATGAATATGAAGCTAATGAACCCTTGAGGATATCATCGTTGCACCATGTCAGTAACACATTGGGAGCACATGCCATTACACCAAGGTGTGGGTAATTCCTTATTGTTTCTTCAAGTATTTACAAATTGTTTAAGTACATCTCAATATAAGTCTAGGTAACAAAAACCAACTTGATCAAATCATATCTTGCAAATTAACTTGGCTTGTGAGGATTCACAGAGAACAATGATATAGGAGCTTTTCAACTCTTCAATCATTAAGCTATCTTTTACAACCAATTTATTTAATCTGAAAATGCACAAACTGTGTAGAACCTACAACATGAAAGTTCAAGGTTAAGTACCAACTGACTCCAGATGGTCTTTGATCTTGCAAACTCTATTTAGCCAGATTTACTATCTAATCAAGAATCACATGCTATCTTATATCTGCACTGTTCAATGTACAAAAAGGACATACTATCGAGTTCAGGTATTATATAAACAGTGTATCTTTATGAAATGAATCCAATTAGGGATGATGAACTTCATTATTAAAAAGAACTACTCACACAAAGGGAACATTGAAAAGCAGAAAAAGCATAACAACAAGTCACAAACAGTAACAAGCGCAGACCTTCCGGAGTTTTTCCTCGGCTCGTTCTTTCTTTATCCTTTCAAGCTCAGCTAAAAGGGCTTCAGTATCATCCTCATCCTCATCACCATCACTAAAAACAGAATTAAATTGTCATCATAGTGGGATCAAGCAACCAAAAATATGAGATGATAATAACCTTCAGTGAGATATAAGTAGAAACCAAATTAATGAATGAAAAACATACTTTACTCCATTGTTACTCCAGCGGTAGAATAAAAAGGTCCCAAAAAAAATTCAAAGATTCTAAACATTACTTCATCGTAATGATGGTAGTATTGGGTTGACCATCAATATAAGCATAACAAAACCATGTTTGGACAAGATAAGGAGAATAGGTCCAAATTCTTCTTAGCTTTGACACATTCATTGGATTTGTCACCTTAACTTCACATTTCAGCATTTAAACCTTAAATTTAAAAGAACTTTTAAATCGTAATAGAACTCCTAAAGTACCAAAAGTTACGAAATAATCAAACAAAAAACAGCTATTACTTAACATGCGAGGCAAAGTGGAAGTGAAGGAGATGATATTGGCTGTTAACTGTTATGTGTGCTATATGCACCATTCTTATTGTTAGCCGCTAAAGGCTAATGCCATCCTAGCAATAATGCGCAGCTTACAGTATAGATATCACATATAGTTTGCTGGTTTTAGGATGGAAACTTTTAGTTACCAGTTTTCTTGATGTACAAACAAGTATGAAGATATGCATTCCAGTTGCCTTTGAGGTCAAGGCGATTTACCAATACAGCAACAAATTCGCTAATTGTGAAACTAGTTACATGTCCATATAATTCAATATATAGAATCCCCAATACAGCAACAACTTGGATGATTGCGAAACTAGCTACATGCCGACATGATCAATATATAGAATCCATTTATACACTTACAGGCACTAAGAGGTACAAGCTGAAATAGCTCAAGTTTTTTCAAGGTAGTGAATCAATATTTTCTACAACTCGATATTAATAGAAATGAATCATGTGGTTGATTGCAACACAAGTAGACCAAAAAGAAAGAGTAATACAAAGCAACAGTTTCAAATTAATTTTTCATGACACAAGATTACTAAAGTATCTATCAAGTGTTACCATGGTTATCCGTATATTTAAGTATGCTAGGAGATACAAATCCAAATTCTATGATGGTATTAACAGCAATGAGGTGCATAAAAAGAGAAGCAGATGCAGTATCATCAGGATATGGCATATATCATGCATTAACAGAGTCAACATACATATTGGTCCTTACTACTACCAATTTAGATTTAATTGTTAATGGAAACAGAGACAATTCTGGCTACCTCTCATTATCATCATCATCAGCAGCAGCTTCTTTGACATCCACATCAGAGTCATCGGCATCAATACTTCTTGGAACAATCCTATCTTCAGCCTCTCTCTTTGTTCCTATAAGCAAACAAGAGGAAATACATGCATCAAGAAAAAAGTTGTGTGTTGACAAGACAACCAAAAACAACGCAGCTTACCCTCCAAGAAAAGGTGCCCCCCTTTTCTTCGATCTCTCTCTTCTGCGAGAACAACCAATTAGAAAGAAGTCCATCCGTATAAACATCAACAAGCGCAGAAATAAGCGGAGGTAACTAATGCAATCAAGCATTACCAGCATAAGACTTGTCTTTAGAGGAAAAGTGTCTCCGCTCGCGCTCTTCCAGCTCCTCCCGGAGGTTCCTCCTCTGCAACTCATCCTGAGTATCCTGCCCCTCTTTCCTGCAGCCACATATCGATCAGCCACTCCACCTTAACAAGAAATTCTCTGCGAAGATGATCTTAAAACCTAGCCAAAATTACGGCCCACGTTATGTTAGACCTATTGTCAAGATTTGGAATCTATCATTACGGTCCTACTACTCTTCTCCTAGGAACTGCATCCATCCACAACCAACGCATCTCGATTTTGACCCGATCGGACGAATCCAGCCCCAATCGGGACCGATCGACCAAAATAGATCGATCAAATCCAGGGTTGGGGTTTCTCCAGAAAATATATAGACAGAAACGCGGAGAGAGAGAGAGAGATCACCTGGGCTTGAGGTTGGTGTGGGCGGCGAGGTCGCGGGAGGAGTACTTCTGCGAAGGCCCGAAGATCCGGGTCCCGCCCTGCTCGTTCCCGCCCTTCGCCGGCGCCCACGTCGGTCGCGCGGCCGTCGTCATCCCGCCTCCCTCTTTCTGCTCACCTGCCGAGACGATTAGGGCAACCCAAGGAAGGGCTCGTCTCCGAATCGCGAGCAACGAGACAATGACGAGGATTGTGGACCCGGGTGGTCTATTTATAGAAGGGACGAGGAAATATCGGGAAGATTGTAACGGGCTCGATCCAGGCCAAGCCCTTTAAACGTTTATATCGGTCCTCGTCTCTCTGTAGTGGGCCTTTTAAGTGAGCCCATGAGGCCCGAATCTATTAGGAAGGATCATATCCCTTTACTTTCATTGATATTGATGGTGAGAATAACATTAAAATGACTACGAGGGAAATTTTGTTCTAAGTTTCTATATAATTTTAATTTAGAATGTGATGTTTTTTTCAATAGTGTTGTGAAGTTAGTAGGAGTAGGTTACATCATTAGGGATCTTCATAGTAAGACAATTGTTGCTGGATGTGGGATTCGATGATTCTATTAGGTCTTACATGTAAAAATTTGAATTATCTTTCAAGAATTAAAGTTTATTCCATCGAAGAGTGTAAAATTTAGGCTAGGATTGATTCTCAATAAACCATCAAGGTCTTGAGTTAAAATCTAGAGATATCCTGACATGTCAATAACATTGTAAATAATTATTAAACATTAATTAAAAATATCTTTGTTGTTAAATGGGAACATTTGAGTTGCGAATGTACTATGTAACACAAAAGATATTTCTTCTAATTGAAGGGATGACCCTTTTGATTACTGCTCATTGTAGAGATTTTTTTTCCCTGATATTTTGAATAAATAGATACAATTATAAAAGAAAAAAACTTTGGGTATCATCGAGAGTTTTTAATTTAATAATTTAAAAAATAATAATTTTGAGTTGTACCATTTTGGAGGTCAATATTTAGAAGAGAACATTTTTTTATCTAATTGAGTTTGTAATAATGTTTATTTTGAAAGGAGTGTATATAAAATATTTTTATATCAAATTGATCAAAAATATTGGCATCTTCTATTCTTTTATAATGGTAAAAGGTCAAAGTAAATAAATTAGTCTTCACCTCACCCCTCTACCTCTTCTTTGCCTCTTATTCTTTATTTTTTACTCTTTCTTGGTCCCTTATTCTTTCATATTTTCCTTTTCTTCTCCTCCTATATTGTTATCCAATTGCCCCTTCGTCTATCTTTTTTATTCTCCTCTCAATCTCAACCCCTCTCATCTTGCTCTGGAATAACATAATCTAAAGCTACACCTACAATGGCTCCTAGGAGAACTCCCTCTACTCATTCACCAAAATGCTTCAAGTAGGCATTGAAGCTTACTAAGTCATGAATGATAAACTATCATGATATAGATAAATATAGAATGATAACTCTACATTCATTATATGCTCTAATCTTCAATCAATCTATGATTTGAAAATGATTAAAAAATATAAAAAATATATAATTATTATTCTATACTTCCTTCTATCATGATATTTTATGGTTAAGAAACCTCCACTAATGAACTCATAATTTATATAAACATATTTTCCTAACACAACATTGCCACACCTCCAAGCCAACCTCAATGGACGTCAAGAAGAAAGCTACGAGGAGGTGAAAGACGATCGAGTTTTCTTTTAACTGTGATGTCCATCTCACTTCATCATGTCTTCGAGATAAAGTTCACATCATGTTAGAGCATTCTCAAAATATTAGTTGACATATTATATCTAAGACCTTTTCATGGTAGAGTGCCACAAACACATTGATTCTACCAAGTCAAATCCGTAGAAGGTGTATCCAAATCGAGCATAGTGGTCTGCACATCACAAACATGCATGGATTGATCATGGATTATACCACAATAATAATCAAAAAAAGAAAAAATAATAAAGCTGTGACACCCTTTAAGATTTGTCTCAAATATCATCAACCTTACCCTTCATCCTCAAACCCCATTGTTCATCCCTGTCGTGCTACCAACTCCTATCCATCTTGACATGAAGCAAGAGAAGAGACCACCTTATAATGCTGGCCTGCAAACGATGAGGATTCAATCTGCACCCATGGCTTCTTCTTCTTCTTCTTCCTCGCTTCCATGGAGCCTCGCTCTCTTAGTGTTGCTGGCCATGGCGATGAGAAGAGCTCAGGGCAGCTTTGTTGCGACGCAGTGGTCGCCGGCCCATGCGACCTTCTACGGCGACGACTCGGCGTCGGGGACTATGGGTTTGTATCCCCTCGAGCAGCATGACGAACGTGGACAGGTGAAATCCGGGCTTTGATCAGTGGACCTGTGGGTGTTGCAGGTGGCGCGTGTGGGTACGGAGACCTGTACAGTACCGGCTACGGGACGAACACGGCGGCGCTGAGCTCCGTGATGTTCAGCGACGGCTACGGGTGCGGGCAGTGCTACGAGATACGGTGCAGCGGGGCGCCGGCGTGCTACGCTGGCTCGCCCATCGTCGCCGTGACCGCCACCAACCTCTGCCCCCCGAACTGGGCCCTGCCCTCCGACAACGGCGGGTGGTGCAACCCCCCCAGGGTGCACTTCGACATGGCCAAGCCTGCCTTCAACCAGATCGCCGACTGGAATGCCGGCATCGTGCCCGTCATGTACCGCCGGTGAGCCACCCAAACCCAGAAACAATAGCACGGTAAGAACCCTAACACAACGCCGAGTCGTATCGCGATGGTGCAGGGTGGCGTGTCAGAAGACGGGAGGGATGAGGTTCCAGTTGCAGGGGAACGCGTACTGGCTGCTGGTGTTCGTGACCAACGTGGGGGGTGGCGGAGACATAGCGGGGATGTGGGTGAAGGGGGAGAAGACGGATTGGATCAGCATGAGCCACAACTGGGGGGCTTCCTACCAAGCCTTCTCCTGCCTCGGCGGCCAAGTGCTCTCCTTCAAGGTCTTGTCCTACACCTCGCAGGAGACGCTCGTCGCCTACACCGCCGCGCCCGCCAACTGGGTCGCCGGCCTCACCTACGAGGCCACCACCAACTTCACCTGATCAGAGGAAGCTTGTAACCTACCCAATATTCATCCATCGACTTCCGTTGGTTCTGTAACTCGAGCTTCGCTTTCGGCTTGCCGCCATTGATCCTTCCAACTCCTCCTCCTCCATGCTGTCTGCTGCAACTACTTGAGCTTCACGATGATTTGCTGCTGTTCGTGCATTATCGATAGAGAAGCATCTATTTACGAGCATTTATGATGGCAATTACTATTGTGACATCTTCTCTCTTCTCTGCATCTAAAGATTGATCGAAGTATCAATCAACACAGCCGATACCGAACAGTACAATCAGTCGAACAACAAAAATACAAATAACAAAATAGTGGACATTTATATCGTTCTGACATTATTATTATTACCTATAAACATAGTTCTTTTACAGAAAATAGAGATCCATTAAAGTAACACCACTATAAAATCAAATATGTTATATGAAATACGAAAATAATCTTTTATGTCTTGATTAAAATCAAATAAAATTAGATCTGATTTTTATGATACGTATATTTTGATGTCAAGATTAATATCAATATATAAAGAGAACTAGATTCTTTTACTTAAATTGATGGTTCAAGGAGGGTTGAGAGAGACTATAATCCCTCTATGAGATACGTAACATCTCCAGTCCCTAGAGGTCCTGTTTATTTATAAGCAAGGACAGAGAGCCTATGATAAGTCATTAAGAGAGTTCCTCCCCATCCCCTAAGGAATTATACTTTAAATAGACTTATTTTCTATTGATCAATATCTATCATCAGAATTTAATTAGTTCTATTATATATCTTATTCAATTATAAATGATCATAAAATCTAACACTTATATATAATTTGGATAACCTTTCAATCGATTTAAGTTGGTGTAAAATCATACGACTCAATTAAAATAACACTAGAATCGATCAGATTGGTATTCCTGGATTATATATCTGATTTCATGTAAGAAAGAGAATGTGAGTTCCACACCACTTCCCTATGCTTTCTTCGCTCGCTCAACAAAGCCTCGTCGACTTACCTTCTTGTCTTCTTGTTTTGCCCAGCAATATATTCATGTTAACTGAGCAAATTAAGCTGCCGAAAGGGAAGGTTTAGTTCGTCTCTTCTTCTAAGTTTGTTCCCTTCATAGCTCGTCGGGACTGCACACGCATGTCCTTGTGACCAAATCCAGGAGAGGCCTTCAGAAGGAGAAGTCATTGCTGCTCAAAAGGGTACTAATGAAGCTCAAACATGAAGCAGTTCTATATGTGAGTTCACTGGCAAAGTCTACAGCCTGATGGTTTAACTTTTCTTAAAAAATATCAAATATATTTTAGGTTTTTAAATTAAAACTCAATTTAATATAAATATATCCTTAACAAATATATGAAAAAAATATTTTAGATATTTAAATTTTATCTATACCAAGAGTAACAGTGGTTGGCTTAAATTTATTGGATAGACATATATCCAACCATGATATTAAGATTTCCTATGGATAAATATGATATTTTCAAAAAGATAGATTTGAAAATTTCTTTTTTTAACAAAAAAAAAAATTCTGATTTTGCCTTAAAAATATTTAAATTTAAATTCATAGTTTCTAATAGAGTCTTATTATGTCTCTTCTCATATCACTAATATAATTTTGTTAACATATGTTTGTATCACTTTAAATGATTATATCTCATTTTAGTCTTAAATAAAAATAAAAATAAAAACTTTTAACATAAGTTTAAGAGATACAAAATAAAATAAATCAGAGGAGTTGTTCATAAGGAAACACCTAATATCAAATAGGCTAAGTTTAGCTCATTATATCATTCAAAATGAATTGATTTGGTTGATGCATGCATGACTAGAAAATTATAATGGCACAATTTGTCCATAAATTGACTTCTTATAGACCCATAAATTAAATAACAAACAACACTTTCTCTCATCCTACTCATACAAGTAGGTCTCTGTCACAATCAACCATAACTTTGATCATAAATTGCACCTCCTTTCTTTCTCTCAATGTATCTCTGGATGTAAGTTCTGAGTCAAAATCTAATTAAATGACTGCCGAATGTATCATTATGTGACATATTTCCATATATCCATCACTGAGACATGTATTGTCTCTAATCATCCTCCAACATTGGGATGTGTGAGCCACACATATAATAGGAAGGTCATCAAGAACTCAATTGTTGCAAACTAAGTGAAGGCTGAACTATTTTAAGAAAATAACTTTTTTTTTCTTATCGTTCTCATAACAAAATTGTATGTGTATTTATCCCTCCCATGTCAGTCATTTTTGTATTTATTTGAAAATTAATGTTATACATTTATGTTCATGTTATTGCATTTTATAATATATTTTAAGTTAACTGTTTAATGAAGTATTATACACACACACATATATGTATATATTATTTTTTGCAAATAATTTTATCTTGAAATATAAGCTTAGTTTAATTTTAGATATTCAAAGATAGATATAATTAATGCTGCATATAAATTGTGGATATCATCTCCCTCAGTCACAATATCATCACATCAAGATGATGTGGAGAAGGTGAGTTTGGCAAGCAAAGACTGCAAGAAGGCTGATTATAAATCCTCACGTCTCTCTTCTTCTTCTTGCTTGCCTTGCATGCTCTAATAGCTTACGTTGAGAAGACAGCATCTCAGCGATGGGAAGATTCACTTCCGTCTTCCTCTCCTGCCTCTCCTTCCTCCTCTTCGTCGTTCTTCTCCCACACGTCTCTTCGCGGCCAGCGGCCATGCCCGCTCGACGCAGCATCGTCGGCGAGACCTGCAACCAGATCGCGAGAGGCGATCCCAACGTGGACTTCACCTTCTGTTCGCAGTCGCTGCGGTCGGCCGCCGGAAGCGACGGCGCGGACCTGCACGGCCTCGCCATCATATCGCTAAAGCTGGCGGTCGCCAACGCGACGTCCGCCGCGACCCGGGCGAAGGCGCTGCTGAAGGGCAACGGCCTGAGCCGGTACTACAAGTCGTGCCTGGACGCCTGCCGCGAAGTCTACGCCGACGCCGCGTCGGATCTCCGCGACGCCACCGGGATGATCAGATCCGGCCGCCTTGTCGACGCCAGGGTGTACATCAGCGCCGCCGTGGACGCGCCCGTCGTGTGCGAGGACGGGTTCCAAGAAGGTGGACTCGCCTCGCCGCTGGCGGAGGAAGACGGCGACCTGATGCAGCTTGCTGTCATCGCCCTCGCCCTCGCCGTTCGACTGGGTTGATTGATTACCGCACAGGTTTAAAGCACCAGGCAGGTGATTGGCACGGTTAATGTTGGTCTGGAATCGATCAGATCACTTGCAGTGGGTTTGATGCTCTTCTCTTCCTCGATTTGACTGTTTCCAGCTCCAACGAAATAAAAGCGCAATGACCATATGGTGCTTTGCTTCTACTGCCATTGATTTCGATCTTGATGTTGGAAGGATATCCATCCAAAGATGGATAGCTGCAGCCTATCTGATTTGTCTTTGCTATGAATGCTGAGATATGCAACTCCTACCACTGTTTGACTATCTTTAAGATATTAAAATTATTATTGATGAATTTATTTTGTTGCTCCAACGAAGAAATAGAATGAGGCTAATGGGGACCTATTGGTACATCAATCTCTCGAGGATATTAATCGAACCTACGAATTATGTTAGGGATGTTAAGTTGGGGGTTAAGGTGTCGATAAAACGTTAAAAATAGTAAATTAAAAGTATTAACAAAATGAGAACTATTCTCGATGAATCCATATGAAAATATTATATTTATGAACATACATTAATATCTAGTCTAAGAAGAGTTATGTGCATCGAGTTTGAATATACGATAAACAAAATGTATTCGATTATATATCATGTTAGTTATATTTGACAAAAATGCTATGAATGTGACGTCGAAGCGTTGACTTATATTGAGTTGTCGCCCATCTGACAGTTAGGTATTGGTTACTAAAATTACCTTTATTAATATATGATTCTAATTGAGAATTAAAAATTACCTTTACTAAAACTAGAATGGGCTTTAATGGGCCATATAGAACGGGAGGCCCAAAGCGTTCCGCTCATTTATCCTCACCCGACTCCACATAAAGAGACGCTGAGACAGCGAGCGGCTCCGAGAAGAGGCGAGAAATGAGTAGCAGAGCCTTCGGTCTCCTGCAACAATGGCGGATTTCGTCGTCCAAGCCGCCTCGGGGAAGGATTAGAGGGATTTCTCGGCTCTCTGGAGGTCGCCTCTTCCCTTCTTCTCGTTCACTTGACTTCTCTCAAACAAATGGCCATTTCGACAAACACTCACCTTACAGAGCTTTGGAGTTATCGTCTCTTGTGTTCTCTGATCAGTACTGGGTTTGAAGACCAAGTAGCCTTTCTTTGCTTTTGTCTATCTAACTGCGTGATTTTTTCGAGCATATGCCGCGTGTTCCAACGCGTGATGGGTTTTGTTCTTTTGTTGAACGTCTCGTGCTGTTGGCATCTTGACAAATACCCACCTTACATAAAACGGGGGGTTTATGACCACTCCGCCTTTCTTTGATTCTGTCGTCTTTTTGCGTCATTTTGTCGAGCAGTTTCCGTGTGTCCCAACGTCCGCGGGTTCTATTACTTTCTTCTACGCTTCTTGTTGTTGTTTCCGAAACGTAATTGCATACATCTTCGTTTTGGTTGGATGTCGCTGTGGATATCTAATAAGCACGATTTCATCATGTGGTCTTGTTTTTCTTTGTTCAAGAGATACCAAGTTTATTGCGGTTGATTAATCTGCCACTGCTAAAAGTTTGAACTTGGTCGATTCTTTTTCATCCCTTTGTTTAAATGGGTAGAATTGGGGTTTCAACAGTTATATGTTTATTTTTTATTTCTTTAAGAGGACTCAATCGATGTTTATGCCTGAAGAACTTAATGGATTTTAACATCAACAAACTTCATTAACCACGTTAATATTTTGTGTGAATTGTTTTCATCTAGACATATCCATTTCATTGTACAAATTTGATCCCAGGTTTGGAAGTGCGAACTAGCTCTTCCCTATTTTTGAGCCAGCGTTTGCAATCAGCAACCACTGAAGCTGCTGACAGGGATCCTCTAAGATCTCACAACAGGAATGGAAACAGCATTATGGTACTTTTTCTTTGCCAAAAGAACTATCATGTATAACTTGATATCATATTCTTGAAATGCCTGCTTTATTGGATGGCATCTTAACAATTGCATCTGGTATCAAATAATTATACTGGCTCACTGCCTCAGCATCATCAGGAAACCAGATGTCTTTTGCTTCCTGGTGCATGATACAACTGTTGAGCTGGTTTTTGACCCCCAATCTATGTCTCTTAATCCAGATCTTAGTGCTTTGTAAAGCCTTAGGTTGTTATCTTACATGATTTCTGGTTATACCAAATAACCATCAAACGGAATTAAAGAACTATTTCCGTGAATTGTTTTGCCCTTGCTTAGAAAATTAATTTACTAATTGTTGAGAGACTAGAACAAGATACATGAGCCAAAGGCACTGAGTTCATAGAGCATGCAGATGTAAACCAGGATTATGCTAGTAACAGTAGGACTTGAGACATTATACACATACATTAAAAGAACCATAAAGTTTGCTGATTTTACATACATATTTTAATGAACCATTTGATCATGACTATATATTTTTTTTCTGGAATTATTTAGTAGTTGAAATAGTAGTTGGATCATAATAAAAGAGGTTTTATATATTTTTATACATATGATTCTTGATGCATTGGACAGCTTGATTGGTCCATTTCTATCTCAGTGTTCCTGTGTATGACTCGAACGAAGAAATTCTGTGCCAAGTGGACATGTCAATTAACTGCCAAAGAATTCTTCAGTACATACCGAATTGAAAATCTTTATGGCTTGGCCAAGTTATTTTGTTTAGGATACATCACTTATGCTCATTTCAAGCTTGCATCTCTTTTCTACGAGTTGCTTCACCTTGTTGAATTTGATAGGGATCCTCTTATCGGTGCTAATGTATTATGTGCATCAATATCACATTCAAAAAAGCACTTTGTACAGATGATGAGTAATTTTATCTTGCAGTTACACTTGTTTCTCATTTTCTATCCTTTAAATAAATGATTGATTTACTAGTGTCGAATAAGAAGCAAAACTTTTATGTCAAGAAGGCTTCATGTGGCATCAACCATCAAGTGGCTGTTTCTGGATTTGCTTTTATGCTTAAAATTGTTTGGTCTATCTACTATCCAATTGATGGTGATCATGAGACTCCATGGAGTCTATGGGGCCATTAGGAATTTTAATTTATTTGTTCTTTCAAGATCCAAGTGGCATACAGCTATATACTTGATTATATGAGAAGCATTTTTCTTTTCTTATTTTGGCTTTTTTTGTTTGAACTTTGATCTATCTTTATTTTTTATTTTTTTATTTTTCTTAATTGTCATGGTGAGGATAATGGAGAAAGAGATTATGCATAGTTGGTTACTTGGTTTAATACAGCTCTATAGCGGCAGGTTGACAAACAATTTGGACTTGACTTGTTGTCATTATTGTTATTTGATATTATTTCTATCTTCAGGATGAACCTTTGCCAAAACATAAAACAACTGGGGCTTTTCAGCAGCTGCCTATGGTAATGCCATCCGTGGATATACTTTCCTCAGCACAAAGGAAAGCTAGGCATGTATCTCCTACTAAGGGTAATGCTTTTTTTGAGTTTATCTTCCATGTATGAATTCATGTTCCAAATTACTGTCTTCCAATATCAATTATTGTTTGTTGGATGTTGAGAGTACTCTGTTCCACCTTGATATAGGGATTCATAACATAGCAAAGCGAGAGAGAAATAGAGGTGCAAAGCAGCTTGATGCACTAATGAAAGTTAGACATGAAGTTTCTCTCTTTTTTTCCCTCTATAACTTATCCTCATTGTTGTTTTCAGTGGTAATTTTGCTTACCTATTTCCATGTAAAATTATTTTTTAATACAGGAATTAGCTGTTCCTTTAAGAAAATACATGGAAACCTTCCCCAACAAGCGATATCTACATCCATATGAGAGATCTCTTATTGAACTGACTTTCGGTGATGGCAACTATGAAGAGGTTTTCAAAGATTCTCTCTTTTGCAATAAATATGGATGATCTAACATCATCACGTTGAGCCTACTGTTCTTGGTGATTGTATGCCAACCTTGTTTAGTGATGCAATTGCTTTTCTCTGAGACTATTCTTTGATTTTACATAATAAAATAATAAATCTCTTATCATTCCCCATATTTGGTGTTAACCCTGATAATCATAAAGTTGTCTTGAATTGCTTTTCAGTTTAGCGTTTCCAGGCCAAGGTTTAACTGTTGTTCATTTTTCAATTGGTTGCAAATGTAAATCACGTTGCTTGGTTTTAACATTCTAATTTAGGCATGTAATCCTAGCAAAAACTTCCAATTCTACTTTGTAAAAAGGAACCTGGACTGCTTAATAATTGGCCAACCTCGAGTCCTGTCTTAAAACTTGGATCAAGTGATTTTATAAGAAGCTTAGTATCCCATGATTTTGCAGCTCTGTGATTTTGACTTTTACGCAAATCTCAAACAGTCAAGACTTGGAGCATGTAGTTGCATGAAACTTGAGCATTTAGTGATACTGAGCTTTCTTGTCTTGATTGATGCATCTAAAGCCTCCATATGCGACAATGTACATTTCAGTAAGAACTGTAAATAATATATTCATAAACTTCTACAGTTCTTTCTAAAAGCTGACACTTGACCCAATATGATATGTATGTATGTATGTTGTATGTATATGTACATATATATGTATATATATATTTTACATTTTTACTAATAATTAGCTTATAGTTTGTGATCAGCTAGTTATTTCTATGACAATACCTGAAATGCAGGCACTTATGAAAAATAAAAAAGTTCTGTACTATATCCATTTTCTATGCTCAAGCTCTTTTGTTCACCAGTTGATGGGAATATTGAATTGTTAAATGTGTTTGATATGTTTTCTTTGCTTATACTTCTATTGAGAGTTGAGACATTAATCTAGAAGCTTACAATTTTTGAATGTGATGATATTCATGCTGTCTTGTCAGATCTTAGGAAGAGTCGATGCTCTTAGGAAAAAAGTTGTTTCCGTCGGAAAGCAACATGCATCTCTTTGTGCTCAGGTTTGACTCAATCATGAATCTGGTTATATACCTTTTATAGACTTGTACGGCTGTCCCTATTCAGTTTAAGCTATACTTGTTTGTTCTAATTCCATGTGTGAAATCGATAGAAAGTTTCAGTTATCAGAGTAGATCTTTTCTCTTAGGTGTTGTATTGAGTTAATGTCTTACTGACATCTGCATCTACTCTAAGTTTCCCTGTAGCTGCTTGGTTTTCTAATACGTACAGCCTTGTTTTGGGCTTGCATCTCCCTTTATGTACTCTTTAGTGCTCACATTATAGATGAACAATTGAATGTTTTGGTGTGGGAAAATCAGAACAAACTCAATTAGAATTTTCTTTTATATTTGTGCTTTTTGAGATTGCTGTTAATATTATAGAGTCTTTTTTAGCCCTATCACCTTGTAACAATTTCAGATCATCTCTGTTTGCTCCATGGAATGTTCCTTTTCACTTTACATTAAGTTGGTCCAGTCTACAAATATTCTTATATGTATAAACTCAATGAAGCTTTTTCATTCTAAGTTTGTTTCTGACAGACTTGTGGCAAGTTAAAGCAGTCCAATTGGTATTAAGCTGTCTATGATTTTGCCAAAATCATGAGTGTCTATTGTTCATTAGATTTGGAACCATTTAATATCATACCCATATAGATACCCACGAGTACATTGTCTGCTAGAATATAACCTTTCCTAGAGCTACCATGTTTAAAAAACATAAATCTTAAGAGGGGATGGTTCATATGAATCCATGATGTAGAATGGAAAGATTTAAACTACAAAGTCAGGTTATCAGACCTGGAATTTAGAAATAGCAAGTTTGGACTTGAATAGAAGATGATTCTGCTGTACTTTTAGTATCCGATCTTAAAATGAGAACACACTCATTCCTATTTTTGGAACACAATTGCAAGTTGGGTCCAGACATTGCTTCAGGAAGGTTGCTGCTTGTCCGAGTCCTTTTGACCTGCATATCAGAAAGCTTCTCCTCTACAAATAACTTATAATTGACTAGTTCTTTCAGTGTATACTTGTATGACTGTTGTTTCTGTAACTTAAAAAAAGAAAAAACACCAGAAACTATTGCATAATGGTAGCTTCATTTCCCTGTTGCTTTGCATATCTATTATAAATGTAAAGACTTTTATTCAGGTTGGGTCTTTAACCTTTACAGTCCACATCAAAGCGTGAAGCAGAAGAGCGACTAAATGAGGTCAGCTCCAACTTGATGTCATCTCTTATGTCTGAGAATATGTTTCAGAATATATTTGCTTATCTTGCCTTTTGCCCTTGCCTTGATCGTCCATTATGGATATACTTGAACTTGCAGGGACTCAAGAAGCTTGAGGAAGTTTTCCAATTTGGAAGAACTGCCGTTGATGATTTGTTAAATGTTGCTAAGGTAATCGGTCATTTAATATGAAATCAAAATGTGTTTATGAACAGTTGACACATCGAAATTTTCTAACAAATGATATTTGTAGCTTTACATGATGTAATTATTTGCAACTCATGGATGAATACATAGACATGTAATGTAATATGTTGTATGTATATGAAGCTTCACCAATTGCCCTCCTTGTATGGTTTAGTGACTTTTGCTTCACTGACCATTGACTAAGCTGGTTGCACAACTTGTTGCTTGAATTAACAGTTTGAGGGAAGCTAACTGGACCTAACACTAAGTCTTGCAGACACTGCGTGCTATGCCAGTGGTGGATCCACAGACACCTACGCTTTGTCTTGTTGGAGCGCCTAATGTGGGGAAATCATCACTAGTACGGATTCTATCAACAGGGAAACCAGAGGTAAATGTCTTTCTACAAAATACTATGGGAAGTGATCGACTGTGCATGTGTTTGTATCTTTATCCAGCTTCTTTCACAATTATGAACGTGGAGGGTTACATTTTGTCATTCATCCAATTGATGTTTTGTACATTTGAGAAATAGATCATAATTTTATATTTAATTTTTGTTGCTGTAGAGGTTTCTCTTTGATGTTGCCCTACTTTGTTTAGGTTTGCAATTACCCTTTCACCACTAGAGGAATTCTGATGGGTCATATCATCTTAAACTATGAGCGTTTCCAGGTTGGTATTTATTTTTGGAGTGTTTTGATTTTTGTAAGCCAACTCTTAGCTAACCTAGAATGACAAATTTTACTACAGGTAACCGACACTCCAGGTCTTCTTACAAGACATGATGGTAGTCAACCAAACAGTTCTATTTCCATTCAATTTTTCAGCATGCACTTTTATCAGAATGAACCCATGAATGGATTATTTGATTTTTCATATTATACCAATTTTTTTGTATGCAAGGTTCTTTTGTAACTAGTTCTTTGGATACTCTGCAAAACCTTTATTACATTGTTGTGAGCTCTTCTTTTGATGAAGATCTACTTAATGATATGTGCCTATCTACTTTTATGTTATATGAATCAAGATTATGTGACGGAATGAAAGCTGATCTTTCAAACATTGCCATTCGAAACCCACCCATTTTTGTTGAATGTCTTCTTTTCTCTGTTGGAAGTAAAACTCATTCCTTTGGTTGAAAGCTTTAGGAAGTGGAAAGACACGAAGACATATAATCTCATTTAGATATTTCAAACTATAAATTTTTACAGAATATGAAAATCTAATATCAAGCTTAAATATAGAGGGTGAGCATTGACTCTCTGTTAAGGTTGTTTCTTTACAACCTGGGCGCTTTGGTTTGAGCTTGATGGAAATAGCATCTTCACTTAGAGGAATAATATTATGTAATCGAGAATTGACCCTCACCATTTCTTACATTAGTGATGCCTCATGCATTAGTTTACCCTTCTTTTAAGGCCGAGTATCATATGATGGTTGATGAAGTATATAAGCAAAAAGTTGGAAGAGAAATTATATGGCAGTTGCTAGGAAACCATGCATGAGGCAAGCCTCGTGTGGTCCATTGTCGGAGCAAGCAGGCCCTGCTAATGTGGACCAGCTCTTGCTGCTGGGGCCTGCAAAGTGCTGCCTCCTGCAGCCAATAGCACCCACTAGATTTGCCTTGTGCATGACTTCAATGTTGGCTCAAGTTATTTTTGGTATTTAAGTTGCTTATTTTTTGTTATCTTGCATTATATATTACGAACATGAGCAGCAATGTTCTTTGATTTGTCCATCCTACAGATAAAAGGTTATATGTAAGTGATCACTATGAATACTGACACAATTGACTATGACATCCTACAAAATCCTCTAGTATTACTGATACTGATGTTCTGAGTTTGACATATTGCTGACTTTATGAATTGACTTGTACTTTTGCAACTAAGATATTTGTCCAAGCATGATACCTCCTTGTTTGTGGAATCTTTGCTATATCTTATCATGTAACTTGGATAGAAATGACGGTTGGTGATCATTATTTAGCTGTGATTTCTTTAAATAAAAAAATGCATGCTGTTCATGAAATACTTTTTCTACCTTTGACACAATCTTGTTGGCGGTAATAATTTACAGGGCTTTGTTGTGATCCCTGTTCATCATGCATTATTAACTACAGTTATTGGACAAGGAAATAGCAAAACTACTTGCGTTATATTTACTAGCCACTTCTTTCTTTCTTCCCTGTGCATAGACAAATACACAACTTCATATACATGGCTTTTGGCTGTAGTGATCTTAGTGAACTTTTTTTAGCTTTTTTGGGTTTCATTACATCTCCTTTCTTTTTCCCAGATGACAGGAACAATATAGAAAGGTTAACATTAGCTGTCCTTTCTTATTTGCCGACTGCTGTACTGTATGTTCATGATCTATCTGGAGAATGTGGGACATCACCGGATGATCAGGTACAAGAGGCTTACAAATATTAAATTACCATGTTGCCGAATTTCTTACGACATGTGAGTTTCCAAGTTTTTCCAGCGAATATCTGCTTGTTGATATGCTGAATCAGAATACAATGCTTAAAATTCCTGGACTTTCAGTTTCTACAAGCTCTAGCATTGGCATACAATTCTCTGATTTAGTAATCCTGATCTCATGACGACGATGGTTGATCTTTTCGTGGTATGATGCTACTGCAGTTCACCACATACAAACAAATAAGGGAAAGATTCAAAGATCATCTTTGGCTTGATGTCGTCTCTAAATGTGATCTCTTGCAAGAATCTCCTGATGGCACTTCAGCTCCAGATGAAACCGGTAGATATAAAAGGTTCGGACCTGACGGCTCCATCCACGTTTCAGTAAAGAGCGAACTAGGCATCGATGAGGTATTGTTTAGCCTTTTTACTGTTGTTTAAATAAATGATAAGAGATTAACAAATGTACCACCAATTCCTCTGTCATCAGCTAAAGGCCAAAGTTCGTGACCTGCTTCTCTCCCAAATGGCTCGGATCGGAAGTCAGAAGAACGCAGACATAGAGGAGGCATCATAAAGGTTGAATGCTCCTCTGCGTTTTGTTTGTACTAATTAAAATGTTTCACAATCATCTCAAACATATTAGTTTGATTTTGTTCAAGGATGCATGGCAGTTTATTGAAATGATGTAATGAGAAAAAATTCTGTAACACAAGTATTTTTGGATCAATAATTTTGAATCAATTGCATTTTGATCATGCTTTAGGGGGAAGGAGAGGGGGAGGAGATGCCAGGGAAGGACATGACAGATGGCGTAAAAGAGTAGGGGCGAAGGAAGGAGGTGATGAGGAAGGACGGATGGCGGGATGGGGCAAAAGCAGGAGAGGAATGGTGGTGGCGGTGTGTCGACGGTTGGGGACAATGGGTAGAGGGTGGAATGGTGGTGGCGACATTACATTAGAAGTTGTGGAAGATTCCCAGAGGAGGTATTTGCGTTTGCAATGTGTCAATGATCATTGACACAGTATTTTCATAAAGTATCTCCTTACGTATAAATCAATTAAAGGGGGATCATCTGATAAAAAAATTAATAGTAAAGATTTTTCTTAATTAAGGGAAAATGCGGATGTTATGATTTGAATCCTAAACTGAATCTGATCCTAAATTTTAGATATGATAACTCACATAAAGTCTAAAACCTTCAAGCATGTTAAGCTGTGTTCATTCGCTATTTGGGCTAACGAGGGAATCAATGGAGCCCGACAACCCGAAATGCTGACGTGGATTCCATGATAATTTTGATCCATACCCGATAACGATTGTAAAACCGAAATCCTTTCCGACCCGATCATAAAATTCAATTATGGATTTTATCGGATCAAATAATTACCGGATTCGGATCCTATACGCATCCGACCCATGCCACCCCTAGTTGGTTATAATAGAGGATAGGTCGAGAGGCGGAAGCATAAGCCTTTCTTTTCGCCCTTCTCACCGCAGCCCGATCTCCCATCTCCGCTCCACCGCCGCCGGTCTTTTTTCCCGCGACGCCACGCCGCGGTGGTTCTGGTCCCGTAGATCGTACGACCTGGTGGTGCGTTAGCGGCCCTCTAGTCGTCGGGGGTTTCTCCTCTGACCGATCCCGATCGTAAGCCCTAAAAATCATCGAGGGTTTGGCGGTTTCATCTGATTCCTGCGATCCTTGGCCTGGAGAAGGAGGAGGAAAGAATCAAGGTCTGGTTTGGTTTGATTTTTGTTTTGGTTGTGGGTTTCTGACCCAAGTCACTGATTTCGATCGGTTATCCGAGGTTTTCTCGTCATATGGGACTGTTGCTCAATCAAAAGATTGAATCTGATGGTTCTGTTTTTGAAAGGGTTTAGAGCGTTCTCTTGTTGTTTGAACACTTTACCCTGTAGCGTCTTGACTGCTAGTTCTTTTTATCTTAATAACTATTATGAAGCGAGTGGTCTTGGGTGATATTGGCACGGGCGTGAAGACCACGCCATCCTTTGGGTTGATCAGGATTGGCTGATGCAGCTTAGGATTGCACGTCTTCCTGTGTCGTGTGCAACATCTAGTGCCAGCAATGCTTCAGAATCGATTGCCATCAAGTTATCTTAATCTTTATAAGGAGAACTCTTATTAATGTGCGGATAGGTAAAAGAAAATAAATATGCGTTTGGCAATAAGTGTATGATTGTATGACAATAAGTGTTGGTATTGTCTTTGCATGCATGCAAACAATCATTTTTTGTTTCAACATTTGAGCTTTAAACATATTGGTTCCATCTGTTAATGATGTTGTTAGTGCTAATCACCCATTGGAAGTAGGAGTTAAATGTGCTTAGAATATTGCTCTCTGGTTTGCGAACATTATATCCAAAAGACTTCCCCATCCCTTCATGCCTCACAAGTATTTGTATGTTTCCTGATGTGCTGTTTATCATTTAATTTATCTGAAAGTATCAACATGCATTGTGTTTGTCTGCTAAAAGTTCAGGTCAAATCAGGATGTGTATGGGTTGATTGAAGACAGTTATAGGTCTTCTGTGAAAATCTGGATTAGTAAGTTTCAGGTCGTTAAAATAAAGTCATGTTCAATTATGGACATGCCATGCTGTCCGAAAATTGGATTGACTTTTCATTTTAGTTTTATGTTTGGAAATGTTGTCCAACCCACATGTTGCCTGGACCTTGTTCGCTAGGTGAAGATTTAAGATAGCAAAGTCTTGGATTACAGTAAAAAGACATTGTTTAAAGAATGTCATGGTACATTGTTTGCAATTGATATTTGTACGTAGGATTTGTTTAATCCAATGTAAATATAAGAAAAATCTGAACTGGATTCTTTTTGAGTTCTTAAATGGCCTAATTTTTCTAGGGAATTATATCATAATTGCAATGGAGAATGAAAACGAGTTTCTTTGCTTTAAACTGGTCTTGTAATGTACTTGGATTCATAGCAATCCACCAGGATCCACTTCTGTAGTTTTCCTAGAAACATCACTATGTTTTTGGACATAGAGATGGTATTTCATTTGGCTCAAATCATTAAATCTGCTGATTCTTATGAGCGCATCTATCCTTATTTGAAATGATTATGACTGATGATTATGTCTGTATTTGTTTTCTTTGAAACTTGAAGGACTGCATAATTGTCATTTGAGAGTCTGAGGATGGGGTATTTTTTGGACTGTTGGTTTGAGGATTTAAGGCAAAAGGATGGCCATGTGGGTTAATACTTGTTGATACTGGCATAACTGTCTGCTTGTGCATCAATTACAGGATAGATATCTGAACAACCTGCACTCGAAAGTCAAAATCTGTGAAAGATCATCAAGAGAGCCTTGCAGGAAAATACTAGTGCAGCCTGCAAATGGACCCTGGGCGTTATGGTCGTCAACAAGGATGGGACACAAACAGCGTAATTGCAGCTTTCTCTTTTGTTACCTATAACCGGGATGATATAGCAGATTATATGACTTATGTCGTGTCCTCCATGTTCACTGGAATCTCATTCTAACAGAACTGTTGAAGAAAGCCATGGACCAGTTTTTAATGGAATGGATTTCCCTACCCCTTCCATAAATTTTTGATGCTAATTTGCTTATTCTGTTGAATCTACAGGCCTTGGAGGGGTATGGTGCACTCCATGAGCAAGATTTCAGGTGGGTAAATTATTAATTGTTTAAACCCTTTGGGATTTTGTAGCATCTTCTAAACTTAATTATGTTCCTATGATCCTATCTATGTTTCTTAGAAAAATTGATTACTTTCCCTAAATGTGAGATTTTACCATTTGTTAACACTTGACATTATAGTTTTGGTGATGATACTTGGGTGTTGTACTAACTTTGCCTTTCTGGTATATTATGTTTGTTACATTACCCTGTGTTTCCCCACTGCTTAATTTACTATTGCAGGGCTGGTGGATCATATGGTGGTAGGAGGCTGTTACCTGAAGGATTTTCCAGGGATTCTGGTTATGCAAGGACCTCTTTTCATCATGACATACTTGAGAGGGATATCTATCCACCAACACATGTTCCTGGTGTCTGGCCTCAGCCTAGAAGAAGTTTCGATGAAGAATATGCACTCGTCAGGGATTCAAGAAGAAATGTTGAGCCGTATCATGAAATAGATAACTTTGGTGAACATGTGAAGTATCATGAAGATAACTTTCGTGACAACTACCGCAACATTGAGAGGTACCATGACACAGATAGTTACCATGATTATGGATATGATAGGCATGCCAGGTTTGGGGGTAGGGATCACGAGGGAATGAGCAGTGACTATGAAGTTCGACGCCATTTATCTCATGAAAGCAGAGAAAATAGTCGTGATAGAGACTATGATTATGACTGGTATAGCTATGATTCTGACCATGAGAGAGGAAAGAGGGATGGTGGTCGGCGACGACGTGAATCACGTGATCGTGAACATGAAAAGAGAGGTTTGAGTCGCGAAAGAGATCAAAGTCCATATAGACGTCGAGAACGCTCTCGTTCACATGGGCGTGATGATCGGTCTAGATCAAGATCTCCTCGAGGTAGAACTCGTAGCCGAAGTCACAGAGAGGACAGCTATGAGGATGGCCGATATGAGAGGAATGAAAGACGGCGGGATTATGATCGTGATGAGAAGAGACATAATGACTCTTCTGTGGTATGCTCCAGTGGATACATAACACTGTTTTTTTGTGTTTAATATAATTGATAAAGCTTTCTTTTCTCTTTTTGCTGTAGGCGCCATCAGCCACAATAGTTGTGAAGGGTCTATCACAGAAGACAACTGAAGATGATTTGTATCAATTTCTTGTACGAGTATCTTGGTCATAAATGGTTTTCTTTGTTGTTATTAGCTTTTGGTTTAATAGCTCTAGTCTCTTCCAGGCTGAGTGGGGGCCGCTTCGTCATATACGGGTTATTAAAGAGAGAAATTCTGGAGTTTCGCGGGGATTTGCTTTTATTGACTTTCCTGATGTGGTACCTTTCATAGAATTTATTTTCATGTGTCACCTCTTGTTTAATGTGTTTGCACCAAAAGCCGATGCTTCTTATGCAGGATGCTGCTCGGAGGATGATGGACGGCATTGGAGACAATGGTCTTGTAATTGATGGAAGGAAGCTCTTCTTTGAGTACAGGTAACTGCGTTTCAGAGAGTTAGTTTATTTGGACAGTTGATTTATTAAATGTGGAGAAAAAAGTTCAACAATTTTTTTCTGAAAGTCATTGCTTAACCCTGGGGTTGTGTACTTTAGATTTTTATCTGATTGTTTTCTTATTATTATAATTTAGTTTTACAAGGAACGAGAACTTTTTGATGTTATGTCATACAAAACTTACCTAGTCATACAGGGAACAAGATCTGTGAACTGTGCAATGGAATGACCCTCTCTGATACATTGTCTGTCACATGGAAGTGTGAACTTGACACTGGCTTACAAAGTTCTTGTTCTCATGGTAATCTGGTGTAATAACATGTTAATAATTTGAAAAAACAAGAAGCATACACTTTGTTCATGAAGACCATGGTCTCCGGGAGATTAATCTAAGTAGCAATTTTTCTATTGGTGGGTGGATGCATCATATTTTTGTAGTCTCTTGACTTAATTCTCTCTCCTTTCCTTCCCCTTTTTTGTCTTTCTTGTTTTATGTTGTCACATTTTGGTGCAACTTTAATCCAACATCTGAAGCATTCACTTTGTTCCTGAAGGCCATGGTCTACAGAGGATTCATT